GAGAGAGAGAGAGAGAGAGAGAGAGAGAGAGAGAGAGAGAGAGAGAGAGAGAGATGGCGCGGAACAAATCCAGATGGCACGCAGATAACCGGGGTCCACACCGTTTCAGATTCGAATTTCAAGGCCCTGCGGCCCGCACGCCGTTTCAGGCCTGGGTCCACCGTTTCAGATTCGAATTTCAAGGCCCTGCGGCCCGCACGCCGTTTCAGGCCTGGGTCCACCGTTTCAGATTCGAATTTCAGGGCCCTGCGGCCTGCACACCGTTTCAATTTTTTTTGGACTGCGGGGTTCCCAGGAAAACGCCACGGACAGCTACCTGTCCTGGTTTTGCTTGAACTGCCGGCCCCCCCCAAATGCCAGTGCCATTCATTTTACCAGCCTTTGAACGACCAATGGGCCCCGGTATAAAACGAAAAATGTCTCAGGGGCATAAAACGCACCCCTGACGGGCTGTGAATTTGAGGTTTTGGGCATGGTTCACGTCACATTGCTGTACCTTTTCAGATGGGAACCAGGTCGCAGCCGTCTGGAGAAATGGGGGATTTGGTACTTGGCTCCATCCACAAATTGTGCAATTTTGCAATTTTTGCGAATTTCGAAGAAAATGCGAAAAATGAAATAGGGCATTTGCAAAATCCCTTGCCCCGCGGCTTCCCAGGCCGCTGACCCCTTTTTCTTTGGGATCTTGGGAATATAGGTCCCCGTGTGAGTATGCCCTGAGTTTGCCCACACACACGCATACACACACACAGGGCCTCGCCACAGCCAAAACGAAACAAACTACGGGCTGCGCACCCGTGCCCTCACGGTAAGTCAATGAGTATGCCCTGAGTTTGCCCTGAGGCCCCACTTTTTGGTAAAAAAGAGCACGGTCCCACTAGCGAAGAGGAAACAAAGACTGTCGGATCAGGCCCTATTCCGTGAGATCGCTAGTGGTACTCTCCACATTAAAGGCTTCCGCTCCACATACGCAGGCGGGAATGCCGATTGCGCACCCCCGCACAGAAAAATGCTTTGGTGCGCGACGTGCGCACCGTCAATCGGCGTTCTCCTCGTTTGCTCCGCTTTGTCGACATCCTCACAATTGATTTGCCGCGCGCTCATATATGTCCTGTACGTCTAGCATGCTTTAACTTGGCGCCTGCGTGTATAGTGATAGTGATCTCCGAAAGGTTGCATTTCTGCAGGGGCAGAGCAGCGTTTGTCAGAACAGACAAGCCGAGATGGCGATGGCTCTCGCTCCCATGGTGGTCGTGGTTGTGCTCGTGGCGGTGGTATGGCCTTTTGTGCCTGTCCACGTGTCAATCGCCTGCCTTTCTCTCCTGGTCGCCGCTGCGGCCGCAATTAGATGGAGGAGAAAGCGAGCTCCGATCGGCGTGAAGACTTCTGTAGCGAAGCAGGGCTTGGGCGCGAAGAGTGCTTTGGAAGACGTGGCAGCAGCAGGTGCAGCGCCGGCAGACCCAGCTGCGGATGGCGTGACGACGACCGCCCAGGAGGGGCCGGTGAAGTCACAATTGCCGCAAGCGGCTGCAGAGCGGGAATTGGCCACGACGCGGACGGCGGCAGAGGAGCGGGGGGATTTAGCGACGGCGCAGAAAGCGGCGGAGGAACGGGGGGATTTGGCGACGGCGCAGAAAGCGGCGGAGGAGCGGGACGTGACTACGGCCGTGACTGGGGTGGCGGAACCATCCACTACTACATTGGAGAAGGTAGCGGCGGCGGTTGAAGAGCAGGGGCAGCAGCGCCAGGAGAGCGAGAAGGAGCGGACTTCCACCTCGGATTGGACATCGAATTTGGAATCGCTGTTTCCCAAAGCGGGTACGAGAGCTGTCGGCGTCCTCAGTTTCGCCAATTTACCATTGAACCCGAATTGGAGCGTTCATTCTTTCTTCCTCATGTTGATGTTATGCTTATCATCGTCGTTTGTTGCTGGTTTCGCTGGTGTCGTCATTCGCAGATTTCCTCCTTGTGGTGCTCTTTCTCTTGCTCCAGCTTTATCTCAATTTGCCTATTGTATTGTTCCGTTGGTTGTCCCTAGTACTTCTCTTCTTCTGTGTTTGATCTCTCTCGCACCCGCCGCTACGTGCTATGATAGGGCGTGTATAATACCGTTGTGTAGGGAGGGAGGTGTTGTTGTTGTTCCTCAGAGTGTTAAGTAACGTGATGGTGATGAAATGATTGCGTAGGGAAGATGCTGAACCCACTGAATGTGGGCAGACAGAGGACACTGTGCCTCGTCACAAAAACGTTGAAGTCTTGATGTCATGCGTAAGTGGATGCAGATGGAGACAAATTGTTTTTTTTTTAAATTATTGATTACTCTTAGGATTTGAAAAGTAAATAAGCAACCACTGGAGATTCTGTTTCCACGTCGCTCACAGAAAAGAGGAGGATCGGGCAAACATATGCGCTACGTCTTTCCGCCCTTTAGTACGCACTTGCGCGTTAATCTCCGCGTGGTTTCTCTCCTCCTCCCTCTCCGCCCCGCTCGGCTCCCAGCTTGGCCGCCTTCCTCGTCCCGCTTGCATTGCGCCGCCCCCTCCGTTTCGTTCCCGCAGCTTTCTTCGATGCATCGCCCCTTCCTCCCCCCCCCCCCTGCCCCCTTTTGGTCGTCTTAATTCCCCTCCTATGTTCCATTGTGCGCCGTCTTCCTAATCAAAAGATCATAGTGGGGGCGCCAAATTAGGAGGAGAGGGAAAGCAAGGCGACGCACGGGGGTACTGTGGCAGGGGACGGAAAAAACGGGCCATGAGAAAGAAGGATCGCGGAGGGGAAGTCGTTTAATGCATTGCTGTGATCTCGGCGACCTCATCACCTGAGCTCCTGATCAAACTTGCACCTTCTCCTCTCCCCTCCCCTCCTCCCTCCCTCCCCCTCCCCCACCCAGAAGTCCCTCCGACCTCCCCCAGTGAGTCGTTCCGCCCTCCTCTCCATGCCCTTCCTCCCCTCTTCTGTCCATATGCTTCTGCCGTCTTGCCCTCGTCCCTATCGTCCCCCAGACCTCCCCCGATGCGTTGCCTCGTCCTCTTGTCTATACCCTTATCCCTCCCAATCCCCCCGACCCTCCCTATCCTGACGACCCACTTTTCCTCCTTACAATGCTCTGCGCTCTCCTCTTCTCCGTCACGTGGTCCCCCAACTGTCCCCCCTGCGTCGCCTCGGTCCGAATTGCTGCATTTCGTGCCTGGAGGCTCATGCTCTTAAGTGTTCCCTTCGGCCTGGAAGTATCGAGTGGCTTCATACAGGTGACTTCCCCCCCCCTTACTCCACCTGAGTAGGAGCCTGGAGTAGGTGTTAGGTTCTTATAGACTGAGCCACAGCAAGTACTACTTCAGTCCCTTGTATATTCAATAGAGTGAAAGTTCCGCACTGAGCAAATCATGACAGCGGTTCTTCTTGAGTTCCCTCGTCAGTAACAGTTCTTCATAATGAATATGGAGTCTTCCTCAGTAACAGTTCTTCATAATGAATATGGAGTCTTTTTTTTTTCAGCGTTTGGAAGTCGTCCTTTTTCTATTGAATTAAATCATGGAACGTGACATAACCTAAACCTCCCCCCATGCGTCGCTTGCCCCTGACTTCCTCGTTCTCCCCCAACCAATGCTCTACTTATCGTCTATCGTCCCGATGTTTTCCGATATGCCACCTCGTCCTCCTCTTCATGCCTTTAATTGTCCGCCCATTCTCCCCCAAATTCTCCCAGATGAATCGCCTCCCCATCCTCTCCGCTCCCTTCATTCCCAGGACCTCTGCCAATGCTCTGCGCTGTCATCCTCGTCGTCCTCATCATTCCCTACGCCTTCCCCGACGAGTCACCTACCGTCTTCCCCCGAACATAACGCACCCTGAAATTGAACGTATGCAAGCTATATTTCCGGCCCGGTACAGCCAAGATGAGGGTGCGTTGTGTTCGGGGGAAGACGGTAGTCGCCTTCCAACCTCCCCGACTGCATCGCCTGCAGCGTCTCTGTTCTCTTGGCCCGTCCCGACTTCCTTGATGCATCCCTCGTGAAATGCTTCCTTCGCCCCCTCCTGTGTCCCCATCTTCGGCAACTCGTCTTTTTCGATTCGTCGTGTCACATACATACAGTATTTCTACAGTGGTGCTAATGCCTTTGCCCCTAGCAGAAACCAAGGAGGTGGACTTTCTTCCCTTTTTTTTTGACGTATAGAACGGACTACTGTCTTCCCCCGAACATAACGCACATGCGTAGTATCCGAGTTTTTGAAAAAATCGACGATTCGAATAGAACGGATATGCGTTGTATTCGAAAACAAAGGCTGTTCGAATAGAACTCGTTTGCGTTGTGTTTGAATAGAAAACAACCTATGCGTTGTATTCGTTTACAACGCATATGCGTTATGTTTGGGAGAGACGGTAGTCAGTTTACGTAATTTACTCGAGTGCGTGAACTCTCACGTGCCAATCAACGGTTTCGGGTTTTCGGTTTTTCCGTTTTCTTCCAAGTCCGAGGTGATTTAGGCGCGTCCGTCTAGACGACCTCCGCGATTTGAATTAGTGATGGAAAATGCCCGTGTTTGAATTAGTGATGGAAAATGACCGTGTTTGAATTGGTGATGGAAAATGCCCGTTGTTTGAACTAGTGATGGAAAATGCCCGTGGGTCGGTATTGAGCACAGCCGTGATGGAGATGGGTTGTGAGTCATTGCCCGTCGAAACTGCCGTTTGCTCCGGAATAGGCACGGAGAGTGACCTTGTAATGCAAATTCTGATCGTGTTTACGACAAAGTGATGGGCATCAAGAGCATCCCAATCTGGGGATGTGGTTGGTATCTTCTTCTTTGTGTGAATCAGAGGTCATGAGCTGCCTATATTAGTCTTAACCATAGTCAAAGGTGTCCTGTCTGCCTCTATTGGCCTAATCATAGTCGAAGGAGTGCTGTCTGCCTCCTCTGTTAGCCTAACCGTGTAGTCAAAGGAGTCCCTCCCTTTTCTCACCTGGCCGTAGTCAGAGAAGTCCCCGATCTTAGCAGATTGCCGCCGCGATGGAGTGAGTTTTGGTTTTCGGAAGCGTGATGTGAACTTGCTTTTTTTTTTTTTTTTTTTTTTTCCCCCCCCCTCAGAATTCAACATCAAAGTACTCAATACTCATTCGGAGGCCGGGGTCCTCCACAATACGTCCCGGTTAACTTGCTTTGGACGATAGCTTGGCTGGATACGAAGAAAATGTGACGTGAATGAATGAGGCTTCCAGATCACCATGCAAAGGGGAAACAAATTCAGCTGTACGTCTTTGGAGGGAGATCCTGTACGTAGTGAGCAGTCCTTTAATGCCTTAATACTTTTTTTTTGTTTTTTATAACAAAACAGGGCCTTAATACGTTTTCTAAACACGTCTTTTGAGGAATAAAGTAGGCTTTCAGAAATTTTGCAGCTGCGATGGATGTCATCTTTAACAAGCAATGTATCGCACAGAGCAGACGTACTAACAAACGCTGTCCTGTCTTGTATTTGTCTATAGAAGATTCTCCTGTACGGTAATGCTTTTACTATTTTAGGAAATGCTGCCGGCTCCTCTTTCCTTTTTCTGCTCTTGCCCTTTTTTACCTTGGCGGGTTGGAACCCCTCGACTGTTTCCCAATCGCTGCCGATTTCTCTCTCCTTCTCCCCTCTCCCTACTGTGCAGCATTTTGAGAACGCCATCTGCCCTTCTCTCTATTGGTACAAAGCCCTGTACGGTCGTTTTGTCGTTTGCATCGGTTAGCAGGGTTCGTTGAGTTGCCATGGCTTGGCAGTGTGCAGATGTTGCGGATACAAGGGCAGCATCTGGCGTCTGTTGCTTCAGGACGCAACAGGAGGTATTGGCTCTGTTGGGTATTGCTTTTGTTTTGTTATCGCCTCGGGAATTATTGTGCTGATGCAGCTGGCGTTCTTTAACGTTGGAGTATCTATTGTAGTCTGTCTACTGAATTGCGGTATATATTTTCTCTTCGTAGGGGGGTGGTAGTGGTATGGCCTGAAGCAACTTAAGTACTGGGTCATCCATCGTATGGTGTGGAGACCGGCCACCATTTCAGTCATGACCTTGATGACCTCTTCAACGCAGGGGTCGGTTTGCGACTCGGCCAACACGAGGACGTCCCGGAGGGGCCTTGGGTCACTGATCTCAGCATCTTATTTTTATGTTTAAATTTCTTTAAACGGACAATCTGATAGGCGTTGTACACACACACACAGACGAAAGAACTGAACCACATGTTGCTGGCTATTGATTGGTTATGTGAGAGATTATGTTGTGTAGTTCTTGGTAGTGGTTCATTGTGGTCAGAAATGTGGTTCATTGTGAACACGGTTCAGCCCGCTACGTGGTTCCCCGTAATATGACTACAATTAGGGGTAGTGGTAGGTAGGTAGGTAGGTAGTGTGAGGTGAAATTGAGAGAAGAAAATAGCTTTGGTTCGTTGTGGTCAGAAATGGTGGTTAAGAAATGTTTTTTTTTTTTTTTTTGCACTGTCCAAATCACTACCGTAGTCTTGGTAGGAAATGCTTTTCTGTTTGGTGGGTTATCCTATAGGTATGATACAGTTGATGAAAAGATTCGTTGGTAGAGCTATGTAGCTGCATTGTTCTTTTTGTCGAGCTACCTGCATTGCTCTTTTTATCGGTATTGTAGACGAGGAAAGCCAACACTTTATTTTGCCCCTTTCGGCTGGGTCCACCGGCTTCCTCCCCCTCAGTGCCCTACGGGGCGGGGCCTTCCCTGAGGCCCAAAAATATTCGGGTGGGGACGAGTTCATTTCCTGCAAGGCTGAGGCACGAAAAGTAGGGGTGGCCTCGAAAAGTCGGGGTGGATGATCTGCTGGTGTGTACGGCATGGTAGGGCATAAATCAGGAGAAATTGCATCCACCCCTACTTTTCTAGGGCCACGCTAGAAATGATAACAAATATCGTCGTTAATTAGAGAAGGCATCATCACCGAGTCTCTCTCCGAGACAGCGCCCCGATCGTAATTGGAGGCATCATCGAGTCTCTCGTCAAGACAGCGCCCAGATCGTTATGCCTTTCCTACCGCGGAGCGAATCCTGAAACGTTGCCGCCCAGTTTCTTACCCCCCCCCCCAACCGTGGGGGTGGAAGGGAAAGACGAGCTCCTTTTTATTATTTGTAATTTTTCTGACTAGGCTCCGTGAACTCTTTGGACTCTACCGACAGCTGGGCAACATATCTACTAACCTGCTGCTCTGCCTGATCTCAGGCTACAAGCGATTGTGAAGGGGAAATGTTGAAGCGGTTTTCCGAATCAACTGAGTCTCCAAGGTCGGTTCCTTGCTCAGCACACAGGTCTGGCATTGAGAGTGGCCGATTTGCAAGAGGGTTCTGGGGGTTTTGTACCTTGGTGGGGGGGTCGTCATTGTCTCTGCTTCATGGTTCCCTTGGCCAGCTTATTAATAAGATCGCCGCGAAGTGATTGGCATGAGGCAATTTGATTGGAACGTAGTGTGCGGGGGAGTGCTAATCTGATTTTCTGTATGCAATGAGAAATGGCGTGGGATTGCAATTTCCACGTGTTGGCTGACCGATGGGTTGTGTATGTGTGTGTGTGTGTGTGTGTGTGTTTGTGTGTGTGTGTTTGTGTGTGTGTGTTGTGTGTGTGTGTTTTCTTGCAGAGTTTCGCCCTCCATCTCGAAGACCCTGCCCGAAATCGGACCGTAAGTATTGTACTTGATTGAACACACGGCTCTGTTGTTTTGCATTTCGTTTCTTTATGCTTGGCGTTCTTGCATCTGGGCAAGGAGAGAACGAGAAGGAAGGTACACTTTTGTTTGTGGTCGTCGTTTGTTGCAGGGGGAATGAATGGTCTCTTCTGTAAGGTATATAATTGCTTTACTACGGTTCTGTGGACTGTGTCATTTCAATCGAAAAAAAAGCGGCAAAGAGAGAGAAAGAGACTGTCATTGTGGTGCACTGGTTCACCACCAGGACACGTCATTTGTTAAGCCATTACGACTACAACTCCATTTCTTGAGGAGCCGCCCTGATGTGGTCTGGCTTCTGATTTGGCGATTGACCCCTTGTGATTGCAAGGGGTGACCCTGATTTGGCTTCTTTGGACTTGAATTGTTGTCCAGCATTGGTAAGCTGGTGGCCAGCCTGTTCATCGACCAGTGTGACTGTCTTTTGTCTTGCCCTGACACAAAGCACCCTGATCATGCATGAACGAATGTACAGAGTCTATTTTTTGGTCCGATACAGTCATTTTAAAAGGGTACTGTAACAAGCTGATGATGCTGGCAAACCGGTTGGTAATCGTTCCAGCTCTGATGAATTGTTGAAAATTAACCTTAAAAAAAAAAAAAAAAACTGAAGAGGAGCACCCTTGTCCGCCAGGGGTTAGTCAAGGGGGTGCTTATTATTAAGAAGGGTATGTCGGTACGTTTGGACGGTGACGCTATGTTGAAATTTCCATCTGATAGAGCGGGAAGGTGGAGGTATAAAGGAGGGGGGGGGAACGTTTAATTGTTTTGATCACATCTAACCTGACTTCAGGTCTTGGGGGTTCTTTCTGAGACTCGTCTTGTCCTTTTGGCTGTTTAATTCGAGTTTTTGAATTTTTTCCCCCTTCTCAATTTGCTCGTCAAAGTGTGTGGTAGTTGTGGAGCCATGACACGTCGATGTCTTTTGAATTCGATTTTTTCCCCTTCTTAATTTGCTTGTCAAAGTATGTGGTAGTTGTGGAGGTATGACACGTCGATGTCTTTTGATCGACTCGGTCGACTTTTCCAGGATGGGGAGTGGCTCAATTCAAGTGGAAGCATGGAGGATCAAAGGTGGAGGTGGTGGGCAGCTTTTCCGCAGGAGAGCCTGTGCCACTCAAGCCGTCGTTGGTGGAGCCAGGGGTGTTCTATGTGGATTATGCTTGCCCTCAGGGACCTATCGAATACAGGTTGGTTGCCATATGCTGCCTCTTTGTTATTCTTACTGGTTGGCTTTGGTCTCACCTGTTGCGCCATTTAGACGGTCTATTGTGCGCCTTCTTTAAGATGTGTTGTGTTGTGTTGGTGGATTTATTTCTGTAAGAATGATGTTCCCCGGTCTGAGATGTTGCTCACAGCTATGCACTGAACTTAGAGAATGGGATCATATCGTGTTGGTTCTTTTTTTAATTTGTCTTGTTGCCGTTTCTGTTGTTTATATATAATGGAAGACAAGTGCTAGCCACTAGATCCAGAAGCACTTTGACACCTTTCCAAATTGAGCAAAAGAACCGGAAGCAGTTCGATGAGCTTGGAGTGGTTATTGTGATTCTGATGGACTGGTCCGGAAAAAAAAATCCAATAAAAAAAATCCAATACTTCGACAACTCTGTGCTCGGTGGGAAGTCTTTTCTTTCTTGCTAATTAAGGCCACAGTTCCTTTTTCTAACAGAAAAAAAGACACGTTCTGGGAGCTCGATTGTATGTGCAGAGATGCAAGTGGTGTTTTTTTTTTGTGTGTATTGGATTTTACATCCCAGGATCGATAGTATATGCTGGCAATCACTGTCGTAATCGTCAGTATCATCTCCGTCGTTTTATTGTTGTTTATGGTTTATCAGCACCTTCTTGTTATCATTTTTTTTTTTTTTTTTGCATGGTGGCCTTCGTCGTGGTCATCAGCGTTGTCCTCATCACTGTCATGTTGTGTCGTCATCGCTGTGTACATTGGCAGCGCCATCATGATGACGGTCATCATTGTCGTCCTAATTGTCCTCATCCTCACCATTGCCATGATGGTTACCCACCTCTCTTGTGGCTGGTTTGATCGTGCTCATCAATCATTCACGTGATGACTACCTCTACCGTCGTCACTGGAATATAAGGCCCGGCCGTTATAGCCGATTTGGGCCAACTTTCAGTCCAGGTGCAGCCATGATGACCGGGCGTTCTATCCGGGTGAAGAAGGTAGGAGAGGAGCGAATGGATGGTGGGAAATCTCCTCCGCACTGAACTTGTGAGAAGGTGGACACCATCTTTGTCCTCGTCGTCATTCATTGTTAGCCTCATTACTGTGACCACGAAGGACGCTGTTGTCATCGTTAAATTATGATGGCGCCGTCATCACACCATTGTTATGACAATGTCACCACCTCTGCATACACAACCACCACCGCAATTGTTTTCTTTCTTCTTCTTCCTCCTCCTCCTTTCCTACTCCTGCAGTTGTGTATGTATATGCGTTTTGATGATGTCTTTATTGTCGTTGTCTTTATATTGTCATGAGCGTTGTTTCAGTTCATCTCATGCATGGGTTTAATTTAATGCCTTGTCTTTCCCGAGATGGAGCTGAGTGAACGTTCAAAGCTGGACCTGCCTGATTGGATGCATGCTACCTGCGTGATTGGATGCATGCCATGATTGCAAACCTAGCAGGCAGTGGACGATTTTGGTCTGAACTAGTCTATCCGACTGTTCCGCATTGTTTTCTCTTGCAGTTTTATTGTGGATGGAGAGAGGAAGGTTGATCCGGATGCACCAGTATCAGCTGCGACTGGCAACAACACCGTGGTTGTGGAGAGGAACATGTTTGACGTGTTGAGCCGCATGTTTGAGCAGCGCATCCTTATGATTGACGGGGCGATGGGGACAATGATTCAGCGACATAGACTCGAGGAGGAGGACTTCCGCGGTACCCGGTACGTGAACCATACCCATGATCTGAAGGGAAACAACGACCTCTTGGTCATTACCCGCCCAGATCTGATAGAAGACATCCACAAGGAGTACCTGATGAAAGGAGCAGATATTGTTGAAACGAATACGTTCAGCGGTACGTGGATTTCACAGGCGGACTATGAGCTGCAGGCTGAAGAGGAGGTGCGTTTGATTAACGTTGAAGCTACAAAAGTGGCCATGCGTGCTGCAGATGCAGTCACTCAAATGGAACCAACAAGGCCAAGGTTTGTTGCAGGTGCGATTGGGCCCACCAACAGGACCTTGTCGGTGTCGCCAAGCGTCGAGAACCCGGCTTTCCGTGCGTGCACGTTCGATGAGGTTGCAGCTGCGTACAAGTTTCAAGTGAAGGCGCTTGTAGAGGCTGGGGTGGATGTTCTTTTGGTAGAAACTATTTTTGACACGTTAAATGCGAAGGCGTGCTGCTATGCGATTCAGGAATATTTTGACGAGGTTGGGTTCGAAATACCTATCTTCATCAGTGGCACAATTGTCGATAACAGCGGTCGTACGCTTTCAGGCCAGACAGGCGAGGCATTCTGGATCAGCATATGCCATGCAAGGCCGTTGGCTGTGGGGTTGAACTGTGCACTCGGCGCACGGGACATGCGTGGCTATGTTGACACCCTGAGCAAGGTGAGTGGCATGACGGTGTGGGAGCTTCTGATCCTGGTGCACTCTGTGCAGTCTCTTTTTCTCTTTTTTTTCGAAAAAAACAAACAAATAAACCTGTCAAAATGGTCTAGCGAAAGTTTCTATGGCCTTGAGATATCATCATCTCAAGGACTAACCGGCCCAAGGTAATTCAGAATCGTCCTTTGCGTCCAGTGGAGCTCGAACTCGGGGTCTGTATTGCATAACCCGTTCAGGGGGGATGTACCGATTCAGCTAGGCCAGTCGGTTCCCAAGGTTCCTCATCTTTGCAGGACTGCTGTGTGCTTGCCACACTTTGCAGCCCTAGAAGGGTATATCCTCTGTTAATTTCTGCCGCTGAATAAACGTTGGGTGGGTGGCAAGAGTGTGATTGTTCTCACAGCGTATGCCTCTGGTATTGTTTTCTCTGCGAATGCCTCTGGTCCTGTTTTGTCTGCAAATGCCTCTCTGGTTCTGGTTCGTCTTTCTGTGTAGCCTTCCTGTATTTTTGTAATGAGAACTGCCTGGGTGGAAGATCCTGCGCTGTGGAGATTGAGGAGGAGGAAGAGGAGGTGGAGATGGAGATGGATGATGGACATAACATCACCATTGACTCACTCGCCCACTGCACCGTTCTCCAAACACGTACAGTGCAGAATGAAACAGGATACAGACTGCAGCTGGGTATACCCCAGCGGGCTGACTGGGCTGGTACTGACCGCAGTACCGGACTGGACTGGACTGAATAGACGGCCTGTGAGGTCTCACGCCAACGGCCTAGTCCCACAGGCCGAACAAGAAGGGGCAACTTCCAATTTGCTTGTAGTCACTGTGCTGATTTCTGAGCGACCGCAGCCATGGACCGGAGTGGACTGAATAGATGGCCTGCGTGAGATCTCAGGCCAACGGCCTAGTCCCACGGGCCGAACGACCAAAAAGGGGCAAATAGCCTTGGCTATGGGCCATGGTAAATAGAGCCTGCTGTGATTTTGTCGCCACTTGTTCGTCTTTCTTTGTAGTTCTTCTCCCTGTGTTTTATGGAAACTGCTACTTTATTTTCTCCAATTTGCTTGTGCTCCTCTCTCCAACTTGAACATCACGTAGCTGGAGCTCACAGCAAGTAGTCACATTGGGCTGCTGATTTCTGAACCTTTTCTTTATCAGCTTCTTTTGGATGTGTAACGTTTGGCATGATCTTTGCCGAGCTACGGACTTCTCGGATCAGGAAGTAACCATGCAGGAATATCGAAGTTGCAAAGCAAGCAAATCGTTCTATGAGCAGATCATTGGCAGCTAACCCACTGTTTGTGAAGGGATGTCTGAAATCTGTCTGTGTGGTGGCATTTGCTTTGCTTGCGTGAGCCAGATTGCAGACACAAACGTCATTTGCTATCCGAATGCAGGACTTCCAAATGCAATGGGTGGTTATGATGAATCCCCATCACAGTTTGGAGAGAATTTGCGGGATTTCCTGACAGGAGGGCTTGTGAATATTGTCGGTGGATGCTGTGGAACAACGCCAGACCACATCAATGCTGTCGCGCAAATTGTAAGGCTCTTGGTCCTTCATTGTTTCCCCGGCCATGCAGTTCCTTCTCCTTTTCAGATACTGTATGTGGGTGGCCTTCCCCCCCCCCCCCCCCCCCCCCCTCCAATGTGTGTAACTCATCTTCAGTCTCTCTCATGCTGTCCTTTATCCCCCATGTCCTCTTGCATCGAAAGCATATTCCTGTTGTGTGGACACTTTCCTCCTCCTGCTTTGCATGTACGGTCCATGCTCACCCTGTTCCATCTTATGGGCGCAAAGTGTCTGGCGCTTCCCACTCTCCATCTCCTGCCCACCATTGTGTGTAAAGCAATGTGATCCATTGCCATTCTTTTCCTCTTCTGTATAGAGCATACGAGGACCCTCATGCGCGCTCGTCTCTCGTGCCCGTCGATGTAAAGCATGTTTTGACATCCCTCCGTGGCTTTTCATGCGCGCTCGTCTCCCGTGCCCGTCGATGTAAAGCATGTTTTGACATCCCTCCGTGGCTTTTCATGCAAATCACGTTGCATCAATGCTCCCCGTGTTTCTGACCCTTGTGTACACAACTTGGATGGGCGTTGCCGGTTCCTTACCTTTTGTCTGTAAAGCATCTGGCGATGCCTTTCCCGGCCTGGTGGGTGCAAAACCATCTTGCGGCTGCTGTGTCCAGCTCTGCCAACTTCGTGTCACTCTTGTCCTCCTTGTCTGGTGGTTGAATGTGTTGCCATGCACCACACACTATTGTTTCCTCTAGGACCGGTTTGTTGGAAGGGCTGAACTCTCTCTCCTTTTGAAAACTCCTCCGAGGCTGTCAGGCTGAAGAAAACTGCCATGCTGACATGTTATGAAGTCGTACGGGACCTGTTATGATGTGAAATGTGGAAAGGAACACGAGCAAGAAGCAAATCCACATGTAGTTACAAGAGCATAGTTCAGGTCTTCCTGTTTTTCAGGTTCAGAAGAGTAGGGAGGGTCATTGATGAACAGGCTTGGGATGAATCGTCCTCTTTATGTCAGATTTATGTCGCTGAGGGAGAGAGACTGCTTCCATTATTCCATTGGAAGTAGGACTTAACCTGGAGTAAGGTCCTGGCTTTACTATGAAGTCCATCCCATCTGCTCCGTTTGGCAAAAAAGGACGATGACAACGGCATGCAATGAGAAAGCGACGAGCTTGCCAGTTTTTGAATCTGAAACGGCACGAATTGCCACTGTCGCAATGCAACTGGATGAGTAAACGGTAAGGTGCATGCTCAGCACAAGAATATACAGCTTTTCAGCTTCGTTATGACAGTGCCGATTACGGGATTATATTGTGACGTTTCAGATGTTGTGATAAATGGCAACCCGTTGCTTCTAATGTTGGATTGATGGCAGGAGAGGATGGCGGGAAGAGGAGAAGAGGACGATGATGTGCGTGGGATGTGTTTATTGGTCCTCGTACGTTCGTTGAATGTCTCGAGTATAAAAGCGATTGTGGTGAAGTAGCAGTTGGATGGTTTTCATCTGTGTTCTGTAGTCCCTGAACGGTTTTAGTGCTACGTTCGATGCAAGATGTGTGTGTGGCCTTTGGTGACATCACATGGGCCGTTTGCCTCACAAGATGTCAGCTGCTGGGCATGTGAATGTTTGAGTTTAGTTTGAGGCAAGATACGTCGTTTGTCAACTGGCGATGGAATCGCTTATCGAAGGAGTGGAATGTTGCTGTAGGCTGGAGGGACGAGTGAGTTGATTATGATATGAAACAGCAAAGACTTTTCTTTTCGGTTTCTTTTTCTTGTTGACTTGTACATGTTTGTTTTTTTTCAAGCTAGTGTGATGTCATATTGGTTATCCTCGAAGGCGTTCTCGCAGGGGAGCATATGATGTGTATTATTATGAAGTGTGTTTCATACGTTAGGATGTTTATGGCGGCTACTATTATATGGCATATTCGATAATATCCATTTTCTTGGGTGTGTGCATTCTGCTTTACTCGTCAGAAAATGGTCCCTGATCGTTTTTGCTATCATTGGAAGGTGCTGATTGTTTCCAATCCTCGTGTGTTCTTTGTCCAGGCCAAAGACTGCAAGCCCCGTCCCATTCCAAAGGTTAGGAACTTGTTGCGGATCAGTGGCCTTGAACCATTTATTTATACTCCTGAGACGATACCATTCATAAACTTGGGCGAAAGGTGCAATGTTGCGGGGTCGATTATCTTCAAGAAGGCAATCATGGCAGGGGATTACGACAAGGGGCTTTCCATTGCTGTAAAGCAGGTTGACGCTGGTGCTCAGGTCATTGACATCAACATGGACGAGGGGCTGTTGGATTCAGTGGCGGCGATGACACGGTTTGTTAACCTTCTTGTTTCTGAACCAGAGGTGAGCTGCTTCATCCCCTTTCTGATTGGTTTTTGCAACTGTCATCTCCTTTCTGATTGGTTTTTGCCACTGTCAATTGAACCCTGCACGTCAGTGGTAGCATGACTGTGTGCGTCTATATCTCTGTCCCTCAATTAGTGTCGTTGGTGTCTGCACATCATGGTGCCCTCTGGTGGGGAAACTGGAAATAATTTGCCGTTCATGTCAGACGGGGGGAGTTTTCCCCTTCTAAACTGTCTGAAATGAACGAATGTTTCGGGGTCTGCTCTACCTTGCGGTTTGTACCGACTGTGGTTGTCATTCGAGCGGTCGTACGGATTTCTTTTTGTTTCTGCCTCTGGTTTGTTCTGCCGTCCTCTGACTTGTTCTGGATGTCTCCTCTCAGCACACCAGAAGAAATGGCGTGGCTGTTTGATTTCAGCCACAGTACGGAAGCTATTTGAATTTGTTTAAGTATTGTCGAACTCTGTATGAAATGGTAGCCATGTCAACAGAATACCAAGTGACAAGAAGTGTTCTGAATCGTCTGTTTGGTTTGTTCTTGTTTTTCTTTCTTGGTGTGCAGGTTGCCCGGGTGCCGTTCATGATAGACTCTTCTAAATTCCACGTTGTGGAGGCAGGACTGAAGTGTAGTCAGGGGAAATGCATTGTGAACTCGATATCGCTGAAGGAGGGTGAAGAAGTATTCAAACACCATGCTAATATTGTGAAGAGGCACGGTGCAGCCGTTGTGGTGATGGCGTTTGACGAGGAGGGTCAAGCGGCAACAGAGTACGACAAGGTTAGGATTTGCACACGAGCCTTCAAGATTCTGGTAGATGACGTTGGGATGAATCCTGAGGATATTATCTTTGATCCCAATATTCTGACGATCGCGACTGGACTGGAGGAGCATAATAACTATGCTGTGGACTTCATTGAAGCCACGAGGAAGATAAAAAAACTCTGCCCAGGGGCGAAGATTAGCGGCGGAGTCTCCAACATATCCTTCTCTTTCCGTGGGAACGAGCCTGTTCGTAGGGCGTTCCATTCGGCCTTCCTTTATCATGCCATCAAGGCAGGAATGGACATGGGTATCGTTAATGCGGGCCAGATTGATATTTATGACGATATTGACAAGGTCTTGCTTGAACATGTCGAAGATTGCATCCTGAACAGGCGACCCGATTCCACGGAGAGGATGCTGGAGCTTGCCCAGAAGATTGATCCCAAGGGAAGTGGCCCCAAGGATCCTGGCCAGCAGAATGCCTGGAGGCAATTGCCAGTGGAGAAAAGGTTGGAGCATGCGTTGGTGAAGGGCATCGATCAGCACGTGGTTGATGATGCGGAGGAAGCAAGGGTATGTGGGCAGTACCAGAGACCCCTGCACATCATCGAGGGCCCTCTAATGGCTGGGATGAATGTTGTGGGAGATCTGTTTGGTGCAGGGAAGATGTTCCTCCCGCAGGTGATCAAAAGCGCCCGTGTCATGAAAAAGGCGGTTGCGCACCTGATCCCCTACATGGAGAAGGAGAAGGAGGAGGCGAGGAAATTGAACCCGGAGTTGTCCGAAGATTCCAATGCAGGTGTTGTTGTGATTGCCACTGTGAAGGGTGATGTACACGATATTGGCAAGAACATTGTTGCGGTGGTGTTGGGGTGCAACAATTACAGGGTGGTGGATCTTGGGGTGATGACACCGTGTGCCACTATCCTTCAGGCTTGTCGGGAACACCATGCGGACGTCGTTGGACTTTCTGGGCTGATCACTCCATCCCTGGATGAAATGGTGACTGTCGCTAAGGAAATGGAGCGCGAAGGCTTCAAGATCCCCCTCTTGATTGGAGGCGCCACAACAAGTAGGATGCACACGGCTGTGAAGATAGCCCCCCAGTACAGTGGACCCGTCGTTCACGTCCTGGATGCATCTCGCAGTGTTCCTGTCGTCTCGGCATTGATTGACGAGACTGTGAGAGAGGACTTCGTCCAGGACATCAAGGAGACCTATGCAGAGCTGCGGGAAGAACATTATGCCGGTCTGGAGGATAGGAAGTATATCCCTCTCGAGAAAGCGAGACGGTTGAAGCTCAAGGTTGACTGGAAAGACCCCATCTCAGCACCTATTCGACCGAAGTTCTTGGGAACAAAGGTTTTCAGCGACTACCCGCTTGAAAAGCTTGTGGATGCAATTGATTGGAACCCTTTCTTCCAAGTATGGCAGCTCAGGGGCCGGTACCCTAACAGAGGGTATCCGAAGATATTCAATGATGAGACTGTGGGTGCAGAGGCAAGGAAGCTGCATGAGGAAGCGCTCCTGATGCTTGACGATATTGTCAAAAATAAGAGGCTGCAGACGCGTGCCATCATCGGGATGTACCCGGCGAATTCGGTAGAGGATGACATTGAAACGTACGCGGATGAGACGTGCACAGAGGTGCGTGCGGTGTTCCACACCCTTCGGCAGCAGGCAGAGCAGGAAACTAATGGCCCTTACATTGCGCTGTCCGATTTTGTAGCACCGAAGTCGACAGGAATTGTGGACTACATCGGCATGTTCGTTGTGTCTTCCGGTTTCGGGTTGGAGAAGATGACAGCTGAGTTCAAAGAGAAGCACGACGATTACAGCTATATCATGGCAGAGGCTCTTGCTGACAGACTGGCGGAAGCGGCCGCAGAGGTGCTTCATTTAGAAGTCAGAAAAGAGTACTGGGGTTACAGCAAGGAGGAGTCGCTTTCCGTCGACGACTTGCTGAAGGTAAAGTACCAGGGCATCCGGCCCGCTCCGGGATATCCTTCACAGCCTGATCACACAGAAAAGAAGACCATGTGGGACCTCATGGATGTTGAAGAGCTGACTGGTGTCCAGCTCACCGAGACCATGGCCATGTTGCCTGCAGCATCTGTGTCAGGCTTGTTCTTTGCAAGTCCTCACAGTCAGTACTTCGCTGTTGGGAAGATAACCCCTGATCAGGTGAAGGACTATGCGGGGAGGAAAGGTATGCCTCTGACGGACACCGAGAAATGGCTTGGGCCAATGTTGAGCTATGAGCCGTGATGGCGCGTATTGCAGCTGGTAAGTGGAAGACCAGGCGCTCTTATGTGCACAATTGTGAAGTGAGTGAATCGTGCCCTTGATGCGATCTCTGGGGAGGGGATCGGATGGCTCGATCGGTCTGCCATGGCACCCAGTCAGAAGGCAGCAGAATTAGGTGGGTTGTGAGACCACTTGATTTGGAATTGCTACGGGACTGGAGAGTTTCTTCAAGGATCTCAATTTTTTTTAATTTTTTTTTTGTGGACAGTTTTCGCCCAGCGCTGGTGAAAAAGTCTCGTTTCGTTTCTGCCGTATCAGGTGGGTAGTAGGAGCTCGTCGCGGCCAAAAGTTGTACGCGCTTATCGCTCATCGTATTGATGATACGGTATCCATCGTGGCGGGAAAATGTTATCCAGCAGTTGTGACGAGCTACTGCCGCCCGGTGTTGGTTTGCTATGTGGGGACAGAGCCAGCGTCCTGATGTGAGCTGTTTTAGGTAGAAGTTTACTCGCTGCGATTTTTTTTGTGGAAGCGATTTGTTGAATGGTAAATGCCTGCATTATTTGTTTTGAATATTTTGGCTACTGTCCTCTCAGAGTGTGTATGATCGAAGCAGGCAGTTGTCTGGGTACACCTGTTGTACTTCCTGTATGCCGCTTTGTTTTCGGTCCTCTTCAGAGTCCGGGAGAGAAAATTGTTTCTCTAGTGGCATGCTGATGTGTAGAGACTGCTGCATTCAGTAGTTCTTTGTCAGTGTGTTCTTGTCGCCCTACTCGATCAGCAGAGAAGCAGTTGAAGTTGTGGTTCTGTCCCTGGGATCTTGTCGCTACTTCAGTTCTGTGGTAATCTACAGAAGTGGGATTTGACAGCCTTGTTTCGACTTCGATTTTCCTGTAGTCAGATCAGAAACCACGGCGAGTGTTTACGCAACTTCATCTCTCTCTCTCTCTCTCTCTCTCTCTCTCTCTCTCTCTCTCTCTCTCTCTCTCTCTCTCTCTCTCTNTCTCTCTCTCTCTCTCTCTCTCTCTCTCTCTCTCTCTCTCTCTCTCTCTCTCTCTCTCTGTGTGTGTGTGTGTGCGTGTGTGTGTGTGTGTGTGTCACTGGTAGTGGAACAATAAATAAGGAATAATGCTCGCTGTTCTTGCATAGTTAAAAAGAGTTCCTTAGCGTGTGCAGCAAAGAACGTCCGTTGTCTGGGATGACGACGAGTCCAGATTTTGGCAGCGGTATCCGGCTGCCTCTTGGTTTTAGCAGCAGTCTTTCTTGCTGCCTCTTTATTTCGGCAGCTCTTTCTGATGTCTGCCTTGACGAATTTTGGATTCATGCGATGTCCAGAAGAGAAATGAATGTGTCATTGACTTTGCGTGGGCTTGAGAAAGGCCTGGCAAGATGTCCAGAATAGAAATGAATGTGTAATCGACTTTGCATGGGCTTGAGAAAGGTCTGATTCATATTCTCTGCTGTGGCCTGTGAGGAGGTCCTGAGAACTGGGTGAATGCAGTACGACTGGCGGATCTGTATTGTTCCATGAGGTTGGTTGATACGACTGGCGTCTATGGAGGTTTTATCAAACAGGGGTAAAACAGTACGAGTTTTCTTTAATGTGTAAGTGCTCACCAAATTCAGCCTACCTGCTGAATTCCATGCCTCAGTTGTTGCAAGTGGATCCTTTTCTATATCGTTTTTTTTTTTTTTTTTAAATATATATTTTAGCAACAGCTGAGGGATGTTCCTGTTTGATAGTCAGGCTTTGCTTGTTGTTTTTATTTGATGGACTTCTTGTCCCGGGTGGGGAGTGATTACCAAGTACATGCGTCCTGTAGTTTCAACTGCGAGGGAGTGACCAGGTGCATGCTGCCTGTGGTTGCAACTGCGGTGAAATGCTGACCAGGTTCATGCTGCTTGTGGGTGCAACTGCGGTGAAATGCTGTACTGTCACGGTTATCACGGAGAGAAAGCATGTGCGATCAAAGTTCGTTTATCGAAGTTTTTTTTAGCAAGTGTGCCAGTTTGGCATCATCATCTGCGACTTGCTTGGTTTACGTCTTTCTTTGAAGGACGTTCCTTTGCATGAATAAAATCGTACGTTCCCTCACTGTTTGTCGCTTCTGGATTTTCATATTTGGGGTGGGTGAATTTTGCAAATTCCTGCAACTGCTGTGAAATGCTGTATTGTCATGGCTACTGGAGGGAGAAAGCATGTGCTATCGAGATTTGTTTAGCAAGTGTGGCAGTTGGCATCATTGTCTGCCATTTGCTTGTTTAACGTGTTCTTCGAATGAAGTTCCTTTGCATGAATAAAATCTTACATTTTGGTGTTTCAGATGGACGAATTAAAAAAAAGAAGTTCGAAAATTTTTGGGACTGGTGGCCTAGCGCAGTTCGTAGAGCATGAAAGTGTTGAGGAGTATGAAGACAAAGTCCAGACAGCTGTGAGTTGAACGAACTCTGTAGTTTGACGTTCACTGGGGTGATGTGATATCCACTCTCCAGTAGTGCATTATGTTGTTATTTCTTCTTCTTTTTTCGATTGGAAAAACAGACCCGTACGGCTCTGGCTCCTTTTCCATGCTCTTGGGGGTGTTGGTGCAGTTCCTATACCACCGGCAAGTCAAGGGGCTACAACAGTTGCATGCATACGCGGCTCCCCATCACCATTGAGAGGCCCGACTGGACGGTATTGATTACTTCCCTTCTGGGAAGAGATATACCACCCCTCACCACTGCCTAAGTTTGGCCTGGTTGACGTACTTGGATCGAGACCTTCATTCTGATGCTATGGTAACCCCTGTTACCTCTGTCCCCGTGGCCTTGGAGCGGGCCTTCCCAGTGTACCGTTTCCCAGGGAGTCCTATTCTGTGTCCAATGTTTGCTTGAATTCCTCCCAACCCTTCTCCATCGTCACCTTTTGTGCGTCAATGTTCTCTTTGCATCTTCTTTTCCAGACCACCCAGAGCGTTGCCGGCCGAAACCTCCTTCAGAACTTCTGTGCCCGCTTTTTCGGGCCCTTTGGCTCTAAGAAGAGGCATGAGAGCAGGGTGAGGGCATCTTTTCCCTGCCAACAGCTTCGTGACAGAGCTCTCTGGCGTGGTGCCAGAGCTGTTGCGCTTTCAGGCAGAGCAGCATGCAGTGGGTTATGTCTTCCACTACTCCGTTGTCGCAGATCACGCAGAGGTCGTTGAAGGCCTACCTGTTAGCCTGTGCCCTGCGCTTGCTCTGCTCGACCACTCGTTGACCAGAAGAGCTTGGTAAGTTATTAGCCATTGCATGCTTCTGATGGTGTTGCGGATCGCGAGGATCACGCCCCAGGGTATCTTGGGCGGGTAGTCCAGACTCCCCTACGTCTTGCGTGTGTCATGTATGTCGTGTATGTTGTGTATGTCCACCAATCCCCACTCCGCCCCCGGCCTACCATCCGAACAAAGGACAGGGCCACCGTGTTGAGAGGTCTTCGCAAACCCAGGTTGCCCATTCTGTGGCTGCCCAAGTGGTTTCGCTTGCGAGCACTATGGTCCACGAGTCGGGGATGGACAAGAGGAGGTTGTTCAAGTTGTGCTGCAAGTTTTGGCACCCTTTGAGCTGGTCTTTGCAGTTCCGTGTGAGTCTTCCACCACCTCTGTTCCTTGGGCAAGGCATGCTTTACCTGTCAGGCCCCTCTCTCTACCCACGTGGTCCATCTGCCGTCCGAGGCAGTCAATGTCCAAGAGGCTTTTGGCTTCTGCCCCGTATCCACTGGTTGCAGAACAGAGGTTGCCTGAGCACCTCCTGCCTGGTCAAAAGCTGTTTGACTTAGCGGGAAAAATATCCGGCCAGGTCTGCAGCAGATGCATCCTCAGAACTTGGAAATAATCGCTGTTGCTCACCCAGTGTCGAGGCTGCTGTTGTTTGCCTTCTTTGCGCCCAGGACTTGGACATGATCCCAGAATAGTCCCTTCGTGTTGTCAGGGAAGCAGAGCGTCTAATTCTCTGCAGAGCCAGTGACGTCCAAGGTCCAGGGCACATTACTGTCGGTGGGGTGCTTGCTTCCGGCAGAGGACCCAGAATTTGGTGTAGACAATGCGTCTGAAGAGAACCGGAAAACCAGGGGAGGAACAAGGAAACATAACACCCAATTTAGTCTGCAGTGCTTTTTGTCTGAATCTCTGGGTCGAGGATTCCCAGTCCCCCCCTGCCTTTGGGGGCTGGATCATGTAACTCCATGCAACTTTGGCGATGAAGTTCTGCTTTACAGGGTTGCCTGTCGGCAAGTATATGCTGTTGATGTCCGCAAGTATATGCTGTTGCTGTCCGCAAGTGTATGCCGTCGCCCTTCTTCATAGTCTTCCTTTGTTTGCAACATACCATAGCATAGTGAATATCAGTATGACTGTATGAGTGGTGGTCCCAAATATGGAGGTGCAAATGGTAGACCAGGCGTGTGATTTGGCTATCGTCTCGGCCAAAATCTCTGGGGCCATTGTTTGGTGCAGGCTATATTCTGTCAGTTCAATGTCCAGGAAACGCAGCAGAGCCCGTCTGTCCTGCCATCATTGCCATGCGAACTCATCTGGGTTGATTGCGCTGAGTGTACAACAGCCACAACTGCGTCGTCTTGTGCCAGTTGATTCTCATTTTGGACGCTAGATGGAAGGCCTGCATTGCTCATGTCAGGCAGGAGCGTTACGTTGAAGTACCCCAATGTGTCGTTTGGTGATTCTCTGATCAATTTTTGTTGCTTGGCATGTATATCACTGCCCTTTCGGCTGGTACCACCTTCCTTTCGTTGCACACTTCGTAGTGGAAAACCCAACCTCATGCTGCCTAGCTCTCTCTCTCTCTCTCTCTCTCTCTCTCTCTCTCTCTCTCTCTCTCTCTCTCTCTCTCTCTCTCTCTCTCTCTCTCTCTCTCTC